TAGTTTGTTAGTGTGGTAGTTTGTTAGTGTGGTAGTTTGTTAGTGTGGTAGTTTGTTAGTGTGGTAGTTTGTTAGTGTGGTAGTTTGTTAGTGTGGTAGTTTGTTAGTGTGGTAGTTTGTTAGTGTGGTAGTTTGTTAGTGTGGTAGTTTGTTAGTGTGGTAATTTGTTAGACTAGTGTGGTAGTTTGTTAGTTCGTTAGCTAGTTTGTGTGGTAGTTCGTTAGTGTGGTAGTTTGTTAATTGTTAGGGTTCTAGTTTGTCAGTTTGGTAATTTCATAATGCCAATTCGTTAATTACATGCACATTTTTGTGGATGATGTTCAATTTTTGCAACGTATAAATAAAATACGAAAATCAAAATACCATGTGTTAGAATGAAAACGCGTATTTCATCTGACAAAGTTCGCCATATAACTCTTGTTTCGTAACGTTGCTTCGTAATTCACAACTTTGGATAACGCACTGATGTTCCGTTACCATTATTTCATTTGTTTTCATTTACTTTAGCTTAGAATAGAACAATGGGAAGCGACGGTTAAGCCCCTATTAATCGAGGATGAGAGTTAATTGACGAGAATCTCGATCATGTTTGACCAAGTCTTATCGACTCTCGGCGACTGCGATCTGGTTCAAATTGTGATGAGAGTTAGTTAACTCTCATCAACTCTCGCGCAAGTCTTGTTCTCCTTTAACTGGAGCACGAAAGTTGAGAAAACTCTCATGCAAACTCTCGCTTCTCAACTCTCATCAACTCTCATGCAAACTCTCGCTTCTCAACTTTCATCAACTCTCATGCAAACTCTCGCTTCTCAACTCTCATCAACTCTCATGCAAACTCTCGCTTCTCAACTTTCATTAACTCTCATGCAAACTCTCGCTTCTCAACTCTCATCAACTCTCATGCAAACTCTCGCTTCTCAACTCTCATCAACTCTCATGCAAACTCTCGCTTCTCAACTCTCATCTACTCTCATGCAAACTCTCGCTTCTCAACTCTCATGCAAACTCTCGCTTCTCAACTCTCATCTACTCTGATGCAAACTCTCGCTTCTCAACTCTCATCAACTCGATCTCATGCAAACTCTCACTTTGCCAACTCTCATCAACTCTCATGCAAACTCTCACTTTGCCAACTCTCATTAACTCTCGTCCAAAGTTGTGAATTGAATACAAACAAGCGTAACTGCTAATTTTGTCTCTTGAATAACACACCTGTTAAATTTTGTATCACTTACAAAATTCAAATCATGCAGTCTGTGGTTTTTGAAACCGAAAACACAACAGGTACTTGCAGCTTGTGTATAAATCAAAATGCCGTCTCAATATCACACACAAATCCGAAAAGCAAGTTTATAAATGAGTCTATTTATTGGAAGTTTCCGTTGTGTGCAAAAGAAAGATGTTAAGATGAGGAGTGTTTTTGTTTTGTGTATTTTAACATCGTTGTTTTCCGTTACCTGTGCAGGTAGGTTTAATTTTCAGCGCGTAAGCAGCGGAATTGACTGTTGCTATATACATGAACTACTTGATACATCTTCCGTTTTTGAAAGTTAATTATGTTAAATTATCGCTGTAAAAACTCCATCATTAACTATTTCAAGTCGCGTTTGTAAATATGCCTGGCCTGAATTTAAAATGTGTGAGGAAGTGTCACAGTGACGCTATATGCTAACAGCAGGCTGCTATGGTTTATGTCTGAACTAGACCGGAAACTGGTTATTAAAACAATTTTTATAGCAAATACGAAGCTATCAACTTTTAGACAAAGGGATTTTTCTCGAAACTTCGAAGGTTAAATCTTTTTTAGATAGTTCCGACACATACCACAGGCACAGCAGCTGATATGAGAATATCGACCATTTTTTGGTCCAGTGCAGGTAGCTAGTATTCTAAATTGTACTTTCCTTCCATCTGTTTCTAGTTAATATCACACCGTTGTTCACCGAGAGCGAATACATTGTTGATAATTTAGAGGAAAGAGCTGACATCGGTAAATAAACTATATTTATACATGATAACTCAGTTCTAAACTGTTCTTCCTGGAAGTCCAGTAAGGATCATCTCTTATTGATCCAATGTTACTACAGGAGGAAACCTGAACTAAACTAACTTTATTTATACTGGATAGCTCTAAACTGTTCTTCTTGAAACACTCCAGGTACACCAGTATTAAACGTGACAGCGACAGACGAAGACGGGGATGAAGTCACTTATGTGCTTGGTGGCGAGGCTGGGTCAAAATTTAAGATTAACAACAAAACTGGTGAAGTGTTTCTCAATGCATTTCTAACCAAGCAGGTAAAAGACACTCCATTTTTCATAATTTTTCTTGGAGAGGCAAGTAAAATCAACTTAGAACCTTTAACTTCTTCTGTACTTTACATTTTTAATCTTATTTGTAGGAATATCCAGGCAGGATCAGTTTTGAGGTTTTCGCTTATGATGACTTCAACGGGCCTGAATTCAAGGTATGAGAATGGTGGAATTCCTGGATGTGATTATGATGGTTGCGATGGTGATTGGTGATGGTGATGATGATGATGGTGGTGGATGTGATGAAAATGGTAGTGGTGATGATGATGATGATGATGATGGTGTTGTTGATGATGGTGTTGATGATGGTGGATGTGATGAAAATGGTGATGGTGATGGTGGTAATAATGATAATGATGGTGTTGATAATGATGGTGGTGGATGTGATGAAAATTGTAGTGATAATGGTGATGGTGATGATGATGATGATGATGATGGTGGTGATGATGGTGATGATGATGATGATGATGGTGGTGATGATGGTGGTGATGATGATGATGGTGGTGATGGTGGTGATGATGATGGTAATTGTGATGATGGTGATGGTGGTGATGATGGTGGTGATGATGATGGTAATTGTGATGATGGTGTTGATGATGATGATGGTGGTGATGATGATGATGATGGTGGATGTGATGACAATGGTAGTGGTGATGGTGGTGATGATGATGATGGTAGTTGTGGTGATGATAGTGATAATTCAAATGGCTAGATTCCCCTAATTCCTATCAACAATTTTCTTGACAGGTTTCTGCCAATGTCTACGTCATTCTTGTCGACGTTAACGACAACACGCCACATTTTATCAACGAACCATACAAAGAAGACATATCTGAAAATGCAAACGTTGGGACGATGGTTTTGCAAGTCAGTGCTGTTGACGACGATCCAAGTCCAAAATACGGTCTTGTCTCGTACAAAATCAACTCAGGCAACGAAGTATGTGCAACTCATTTATACTATACAACTGTTCTAAACTGTTCTTCCTAAAGGTCCAGTAAGGATCATCTCTTATTGATCCAGTGTTACTACAGGAGGAAATTTAAACTAAACTAACTTTATTTATACTGGATAGCTCTATCAGTTCTAAACTGTTCTTCTTGGAGGTCCAGTAAGGATCATCTTTCATTGATCCAGTGTTACTACAGAAGGAAACCTAAATTAAACTAACTTTATTTATACTGGATAGCTTTATCAGTTCTAAACTGTTCTTCCTAGAGGTCCAGTAAGGATCATCTCTTATTGATCCAGTGTTACTACTGAAGGAAACCTGAACTAAACTAACTTTATTTATACTGGATAGCTCTATCACTTCGAAACTGTTCTTCTTGGAGATCTAGTAAGGATCATCTCTTATTGATCCAGTGTTACTACAGGAGGAAACCTGAACTAAACTAACTTTATTTATACTGGATAGCTCTATCAGTTCTAAACGGTTCTTCTCGGAGGTCCAGTAAGGATCATCTCTTATTGATCCAGTGTTACTACAGGAGGAAACCTAAACTAAACTAACTTTATTTATACTGGATAGCTTTATCAGTTCTAAACTTTTCTCTAGTAAAGATCATCTCTTATTAATCCATAGTTAACAGAAGTGAACTATTGTATCACCAATACCCCTAACACTAACACGAAAAGGATCTTTAAGTCCATGTAATGTTTTTAACGAAGCTTTCAATTTTGTAGGATGGAAAGTTTTACCTCGCGACCTACAATGGCTATATTTCTGTTGTGGATATTTTGAGTTTTGATGAGAAAACGCAATATGTTCTCAATATTTCAGCCATGGTATGAACTCTTGCTTTAACCAAGACAAGTGTTGCTTTGCTGGTGAATTTTCACTTGCAAGAAATATTTTGCTGTCGAAAATTTTCGCTCAATTTCTTTTGAAATGTGAGCGAACTAATTTATTAATTAGGATTGATTATATTTATGATTATTTACCTCACTCCTCATCGAGGCTTTTCAGTGACCGATTACATCAAGTACTACGCTCACTTACATTATCTACTAAGCTTTATAGACTATATATTTTTACAACAATTGTGATATTACAGTATACTTTCCTAACTATGTTTATCCTAACCCACCCTGTCAACTTTCTCGGTTATCAAGCGAAATATTTCTCTGGAAGTAGAAAACCACGTTTACTTAATAAGAGGTGTGTTTGTTCTCTAGGATGGTGGAGGTAATCAAGATATTGCCATGGTAACCATCAATGTTCTTGATTACGACAATTTACCAGCAGTGTTTGACGCGAGGACGTACCTCGCCTCCGTACGTGAAGATGCCGAGAAGGTATGAGAAGGACGTTAAATCGTAGGTACCTCAGATTCCCCATCAATTGGGCAATAGGCAATAGCCTGTTGGAAAATTCGCTCACCAAAGGCCTCGTGCAACAAATCCTTACCTAACAGTATTTTTTTTTTCAGGGATTTGCAGTTATTCGAGTCTCGGCTCACGACGGAGATTCACTCAACGCTTCAGTCGAATATCTTCTTGATCCAGGTGAGTTCTCAAAGAATTTTTGTGAAGATTGCAAAAGATTTTTTGTATTAAATTTTTGGGGATAATAGCTACCAATGAATACACTATATATAATGATATACTGTTACAGTAGTAGAGTTATGAATGTAAATGTTCGGGATTACATTCATTTATTTAAACCAGAGTAGCGAAACAAGTGTCTGAGTTTTTGTTTTCGTTTGTAGATTCAAACAAGAACAACATTTTTGCAGTCGATAATACAACCGGTGTGATCACGGTGAATGGTACTCTTGATCGTGAGAAAACCTCTTCATATCTTCTAAGAATTGGCGTGAGTATTGTTTGGAGAGATAAAAACCACAAGACCAGATTAACATCATCACTAAGCCATCACCATCATTATCACCATCATCTTCACCATCATCACCATCATTATCATCACCAACATCGTCACCACCATCATCAGCATCATTATCACCACCACCATCGTCATCATCAGCATCTTCACCATCATCTTCACCATCATCAGCATATTTACCATCACCACCAGTTCACGATCATCATCATCGGCATTAACACCATCTAAATAAAAACACCCACCTTAATTTCTTACCTCTTTTGCAGGCAAAATCGACGTACCATGCGGCAGTCTACACAACCGTATCCGTTCAAGTTTTGGACGTCAATGACAACAGACCAAAGTTTGAGAAGAACGTGTACGAAGCGTTTGTTCCTGAGAACTCTCCTGTAGATTTGACTGTTTTGCAAGTCACTGCCACTGATGCTGATGTTGTGAGTATTGTAATAATCATCTCTTACTGATCCAGTGTTACTACAGAGGAAACCTAAACTAAACTAACTTTATATATACTGGATAACTCTATCAGTTTTAAAGAGGTCCAGAGGTCCAGTAAGTATTATCTCTTATTTATTAATTTTTATTACAGGGTGAAAACGCGACGTTGCAGTACATTCTCGTTGGAGCTAACGACAAGTTTGATATTCGAAGTTCAGGACAAATTGTGGTGAAAGCAAACATCGATCGTGAAGAAAAAAGCCAATATAAATTTGTGGTACGGTAATTATTGTGAAAAATAATTGAGTAGGATCCAAAGCGTTGACAGACTCTTTTGAACGTTGACTGATCTCTACCAGATTTCTTTTGTAAACAATTTTTTTTTCATTACTCAAGGTTACCGCTAAAGAGACTCTGACTCGAGAACGATATGAGAGCAACGTGACCATCATTATAAATATCACTGACGTCAACGATCACAACCCAAGTTGTTCGCAAGAGATTTATAAAGTTACGGTGGATGAGAATCGACCCAATGGTACATTTGTTGCACAGGTACTCATTAGTTTTTCGTGTATGTGATGAATTGTAATTAGGTTACGATGCTGAGCAGCGATCGAACCCCCCCCCCCCCCTTTCTTCCACCCAAATCCCCCAAGTAGAGAGTCCTCAGAAGAGGAGGTTGAGGGCTCTGCCAGTGGTAATAGGCAAAGAAGATAGGCAAAGACTCGAAAGATCTGGCAGCGTAGGGAGTAACAAAACACCAAACTGCCTGTTCACTGAAGATTGGAACACTATTCCTAAAATCATATAACTGGATTAAAAACATTTGTTCATCTTAAAAACCAATTAAGAAATCATCTTCTTGGGTGATTGAAAGTACCTGGAAAAGATTACAAAGGCTTTTCGTCGAGAGTTTAGTAACCAAATCATTCCTCATTCTTAGGTTCTCGGTGTCGATGCAGATGCTGGTCAAAATGCAGAGATCCGCTTTTCGCTCGACTCTGAACTCGATGGTCACTCCAGTTATTTCACACTGGACCCAGTCAGTGGGAACATTACGACATTACAACCTCTGGATCGTGAGATGAAAAGTTCTTTCACTTTGGAAGTGACTTTGAAAGATCAAGCCACTGTCGAGCAGAAAAGGTGACGATCCTTACCTCTAGAACTCTAGGAAGAACAGTTTAGAACTGATAGAGCTATCCAGTATAAATAAAGTTAGTTTAGTTTAGGTTTCCTCCTGTAGTAACACTGAATCAATAAGAGATGATCCTTACTGGACCTCCAGGAAGAAAAGTTTAGAACTGATAGAGCTATCCAGTATAAATAAAGTTAGTTTAGTTTAGGTTTCCTCCTGTAGTAACACTGGATCAATAAGAGATGATTCTTACTCGACTTCTAGAAAGAACAGTTTAGAACTGATAGAGCTATCCAGTGTAAATGGAGTAGGCAAAGCTAAAGTTTTTCAGAACTAAATATTTTCAAAATAATTTTTTTCAGGTCGGGATCATGTTTCGTTCAAATCACAGTAGGAGACCAGAATGATAATATTCCGACGTTTATTTCGTTGTCGAATGCCACTTCAGTCGCAGAAGACGCACCCCCCGGGACAGTTGTCGTTACAATCAAGGTATGTACATCTCCGTACCGTACACTGAGCTATATATACTACTGGAGGGCAAACTTGGTAGTATACTATATATAGCACTAAAATTACATAGCTCTTTACTTTTGATAACGATAACTTTGTATCCTTTTAGGCGCTTGACGAAGACGTGTCCTCAAATGCTGAAGTCCGATACCAAATCGTATCAGGAAATATAAATAACACTTTTCATTTAAATATTTCGAGGTACGGTGCTTATAATAAACGTGCAAGCGTCTACATTGGAAAGTGAGCTACTTTTTTTACTGTTTCTTTGTTTCATTTAGTGGTGTTTTAACAACGATAAAAACTTTGGATAGAGAGTCAATCTCACAATACAACTTGGTCGTGAATGCGACCGACAGTGGTGGGATGGTAAGTCTTAAATTTTAGACAAGCTTCATTAATGACATCTTTTCAAACCAACCAGTATTTCGACGCGAAAATGGATTATGCCACCGTGTTATCAAATTCCTTTATGTGTTGTGAATTATTAATGAGTTTAAGAGAAATATTCAAGCTGAAATTTTTTAAAAACCTAGTTACCACTCTCTTTTCGTTTAGTCTCAGACAGAAGTATTGATAATCTCGATATCAGATCAAAATGACAATCCGCCTGAATTCCATCACTCAGGAGGCTACACTTTCGCTGTTGATGAGAACAGCGCTGCATTGTTGGTTGGTATTGTACAGGCTACCGATGCGGATCTTGGCAGGAACGCTGAAATTGTTTATTCCATTAACTCTTCTGCTGTCTCGGATAAGTAAGTTTCCCTTGTATTAGAGTTTAGGGCGAAGTGAGCTGACAAAAAGCATGGGCAGATGATGCGACATACTAATGTTTCTTTCCCAATATAGTTTTGTTATTGAACCTTCAACGGGAACTATCAGGACCGCTGTACCGCTGGATCGTGAGACTACAGACATGTATATGCTGACAGTGACTGCAGAGGATGCTGGGACACCCGGTCTGTTTACCAGTGTCACGGTATATATCAATGTCTCTGACGTGAACGACAATACGCCACACTTCTCTCAGGAACATTATACTGTGAGCTTGGCTGAGAATGAAGACAACATGAATTTCCTTAATCTTACGGTACAGTCTAGATTATTATGCAGTAATATTTCAGAACAACCATCATGATCACCATCACCGATTCACCATATCATCATATCATCACCATATCAGTTTCCCTCGAGTGTCAATGCTGTATTTGAACAGCTGGAGGGTGAGTAGTCACATAGTAAGATACGACACTAACGCCCGTATTCTAAAAGCTCACTCACACTCAATGAGTGGAGATTCAATTTGAGCTGCTCTTGAGTGTCAATGCTGTTTTTGAATAGCTGGAGGTTCAGTGTCGTACCTTACTACTGTATGTGACTATACTCACCCTCCAACTATTTAAAAACAGCAATGACACCCAAGGAAAGCTCAGATTGAACCTCCACTCTTTGAGTGTGAGGGTGAGTCAGCTTTTAGAATACAGGCGTAACCCTCCAGCTATTCAAAAACAGCATTGACACCCAAGGAAAACTCAGATGGAACCTCCACTCTTTCAGTGTGAGTGGGATTTTAGAATACAGACTTAAAATGTCTACTCTTATCTCTAAAGGCGACTGACAAAGATCTCGGTCTCAACTCCAAACTACGCTACAGCATCCTCACTGGAAATGCTGAAGGTGATTTCACAGTGGACACTAGTACTGGACAGCTATCAACCACCAAAACTCTGGATTATGAAAAAGACAAGATGTTTACGTTGTTGGTTCAAGTTCATGATCTGGATGGTAACTCGAGTTATGGACAATCATTTCATGACAATGCTGTAGTGTATGTTTCTGTTCAGGTAATTTTACTTAAAAGTTTATGTAAATCAGCATGATTTTGTGTCAGATATATAAACTCCTTCTCGGTCGTGATTTCTTTTAATTTGTGCTTTCTTCATAAAAGTTACAAGTTTTTCTCATGTATTCCAGGACGTTAACGACCATTCCCCAACGTTCACAAAATCCTCGTACGAAGTACGTCTGTATGAAAACATCACCGTTGGGAGTGAAGTGATTCTGGTCAGAGCTACAGATGAAGATAGTGGCGATAATAAAGTCATTGAATATTCATTTGCAAGCGGAGCTGGCCTCGAGAACTTCTATATTGATATGAACAGTGGAAGAATCACAGTGAAGAGTCAGATTGACCGAGACCCACCTTTGAACCAAACTATGTTTAATATCACGGTGAGTTGATGTTCAGAAATGTTGGTTAAATAAAATGTTCTGTCTTAATTCTTACCCTTACATTTCCTCTTTTCGTAGGTTATGGCTAAAGATAACGGTAACCCATCCTTAAATTCAACAGTCCAGGTTAGTATTAGAAAATGAACATTTCTTTAATCTTGTTGTGAAATTCATAATGAATTAACTTTGGCTCCAGTCAAAGTTCAAAACATATCATGTACCCTGGCTTGTAAACCCCGTACAAATTAATCATCAAAATGCTATTTAATTACAAACACTCGTGGCTTCAACTCTTTTGTTACATCCAAGGGTGCTTGTCACTTATGCACTTAAACATTATTTATAATAATTATGAACATTAATTTCTTCCAGCTTTTTATAACAGTTGACGACGTAAACGACAATGCTCCCACATTCACACAAGGTAAAATTATACTTAGATTTTTTCATATATTATTAAATTACGTTTAAATCATTGTAATATTGATTTCTGTCACCAGCTGAGTACACAGTCCAGTTAGCAGAGAACAGCGCCGCTGGTAAATCTTTGATTCAATTGTCTTGTGTGGATAATGACGAGGGAAGCAATGGACAATTTGTTTTCATGATCAGGAGTGGAATTAACCAGGTATTTTATGTAGAAATTATTATTAAACTAAACTAACTGTATTTACACTGGATAGCTCTGTCAGTTCTAAACTGTTCTCCCTAGAGGTCCAGTAAGAACCATCTCTTATTGATCCAGTGTTGCTACGGGGGGAAACCTAAACTAATTTTATTTATTCTTGATGGTTGTATCAGTTTTAAACTGTTCTTCCTGGAGGTCCAGTAAAGATAATCTTTTATTGATCCAATGGTACTACAGGATGAAACCTAAACTATATTTACACTTGATGGTTCTATCAGTTTTAAACTGTTCTTCCTAGAGGTCCAGTAAGGATCATCTCTTATTGATCCAGTGTTACTACAGGAGAAAACCTAAACTAACTTTATTTATACTGGATAGCTCTATCAGTTCTAAACTGTTCTTCCTAGAGGTTCAGTAAGGATCATCTCTTATTGATCCAGTGTTACTACAGGAAGAAACCTAAACTAAACTAACTTTATTTACACTGGATAGCTCTATCAGTTCTAAACTGTTCTTCCTAGAGGTTCAGTAAGGATCATCTCTTATTGATCCAGTGTTACTACAGGAGGAAACATGAGTACTTGGAGAAAATCTGCAGTGTTTGGTAGAGTCAAACTGGAAGCACTCTTCTCACATGTGACTGAGGAGAAATTATAATCAGAGAAGTGTATATTGCAGGAATCAGCTCTATCACAGAGATGAAAGACATCTCTACTTGAAATTTTTTGTTCTCAGGCTAGCCCAGAGTTCTACATTGACAACAAGACTGGTTTAATAACAAATCTGGTAGAAATAGATTACGACCAAGGTGTTCATGAATTCCGTTTGGTTGTGGATGCTGTTGACAATGGTCATCCTCAATTGATTGGGTAAGCACTTGTATTTTTATTCAGCGAACATTCCATCATATCTTCACAGACTATGAGCATATGAAATGCTTACCTGAAAACTATTATTTTCGACAAAGCTAATTGATAAACAAATCATTTTCATTCAAGTTCAACTTCAGTTGTAATTCAAATTGAAAATACGAACGACAACACGCCGCAGTTCACCCAAGACAGTTATTCATTCTCCATCCAAGAGGGATCCTACATCGGAATGCATCAGACAGTTGGCATGGTAACAGCTAATGACGTGGACAGTGATGGGGAAAGTCCTTACGGCCGAGTATACTATAGCTTCGAAACTGAATCCAGTAAGTTGATGTGTGTTTTGGTTGCTTGCCAACTCTCATGCAACTCTTGTTCTCGTTTGATCAAGGAATGAAAGTTGAGAAAACTCTCATGTAAACTTTCGCTTGTCAGCTGTCATGCAAGTCTTGTTCTCGTTTGATCAAGCAATGAAAGTTGAGGAAACTCTCATGTAAACTCTCGCTTGTCAACTCTCATGCAACTCCTGTTCTCGTTTGATCAAACAATGAAATGCTTGTTGACAAGGTTAATAATTTTTCTACGTATTTTAGGTGAATTTTCTATCAACAATATCACGGGTGAAATTACAACCAACGTTACCCTGGATCGAGAAGAGAGATCTCACTTCATGTTGCGTGTGACTGCTCAAGATGGCGACCCGGTCGCGCCAAGATCAAACAGTACAGCTGTGTATATCACCATTGTTGATGAAAATGATAATTCTCCCAAGTTTACTAAAAGTCATGAAACAATTCATGTTTTTGAAGATGTTGCTGTTGGATTCAGTGTCGCTAATGTAAGTGATAGTGATGATGATGGTGATGGTTATTATGATTATGATGATGGTGATGGTAATGGTGTTGATTGTGGTGATGGTACTGTACATGATGGTTGTGATGATGGTAATGGTGTTAATTGTGGTGATGGTACTGTACATGATGGTTGTGATGATGGTAATGGTGGTGATTGTGGTGATGGTGGTGATGATGGTGATGATGATAATAGTGATGGTGGTGATGATGCTGATGATGGTAATGATGATGGTGATGATATGGTGATGATGCTGATGATGGTGATGATGATAATAATGATGGTGGTGATGATGATGGTAATGATGCTGATGATGGTGATGGTGGTGATGATGGTGGTGATGATGATGGTAATGATGCTGATGATGGTGATGATGCTGATGATGATGGTGGTGATGATGATGATGATATTGTAGTGGTGATGATGGTTGTTCTGATACTAACACATGTACTTACTTTAGATCACAGCTGTGGATCCAGATGAAGGCCTGAATGGCGAAGTTTACTACTCTATCCTAAGTGGAAACACTGACTCGTATTTCACATTCAACACTTTGACTGGAGAAGTAAAAGCCAACAAGCCACTGGATCGGGAGAATGTTGCCAGTTACCTTTTAGTAATTCAAGCCCATGACAGTAAGAATTCATGTATTTATTTTAATTA